TTTTTTTTTTTTTTTTTTTTTTTTTTTTTTTTTTTTTTTTTTTTTTTTTGTTAAAAAAATAATACACATTTGTGAAATATGCTTGTACTATTCATGTTAAATACACAATACAAATCAAAATTAAAATCATAAATAAAAAAAATTAACGGTAATTAATGACTTTTTTTGTTGTTGTTTTACTCAGAGATAGAGGAAAGCGAAACAGAATACATTAGAATCATATACAACATGATTTCGTGAAATAAAGAAACCTAACTGTGCATTAGAAGAGTTTACTTTAAATTATATATATATGCATATATATATATATATATTTGTCAATCTTGTTGTATACTTCATATAACGTATGGTTCGCATTTACTCTTCTCTTTATTTACGTAGATATATATGAAAAATAAAAAAAAAATCTATTTACACTAAGTAATATTACTTATATTCTGAGTATGGTAATATCTGAAGCGTTTCGTTGGTTTTGATGTGTTTGAGTGCGTGTGTATGTGTGTGTGTGTGTGTGAGTGTGTTAGTGTGCGCGGCTCCATGTCCAACAGATTTAACGCCAATACATTCTCATCATTGTGTTGTACTGTGCACATTCCTAAACATAACTCAACCAATCGAAACTCCCCATTCTTAGGACTATACACATTCGAAACTAATCTAATTAGTTAGTTTAGTTTACTTTAGGATTAGCTTTAGTTTTTAGTTTAGTTTAGTTGTTTAGTTAAGTTGCCTATATGCGGAGATCAGCTATGGATCAGAGCACAACAAACAAATCGAAGAGGCATTCGCAACTAAAGCAACAAACAAAAATATTATTGCTCATTTTTTTTCTCATTTTTTTGTTTTTGTTTTTTTTTTTTGAAACGCCTTTTGTATATGAACGATCATTGGATATGAATGTATATATATTTATATATATATATATGTAGCCTATGTCTGTGTGTTTGGGTATTTGTGTTAACAATGCGTTACATGTCTGCATATGTGTGTGTGTGTGTCTATGTTGTATTGTGTTTTGTATTTATAAATAAATACGGACTCAGTCGCGTTCTACAACTTTTTGCATTTTACGAGCTTTTTCCACCAGCACTTTGAGACTTTCAACGTTTCGCTGCTGATTCTTGTTTGTTGTTGCTGTTGTTGTTGCTATTGTTGTTGTTGTTGTTGTTGTAGTAGTAGTTTCCTATGTGTTAAGTTTCATTGTTCATTTGGGCTGTTAGTCAGGCATCTCGACCCATTTTGCGAGATTTCTGGCGACAATTTCCTTATTGATAAAAATTATGTTCTGCAAATGCGAAAAAGACAGAAAAACAATTAGTTAAATATGTAGCATATAGAACAAGGCAAAATTTCAAATATCAAACTCAATGAGAAAGCGCTGAATGCATTCCAGCTATCTCGCTCGCTCGCTCACACTTGCCATCTCTTTCATTGTGGTGCGGCATTTTACTTACGTTTGGACCTAGAGAAGCAAATAAATAGATTTCTGGTATATTAAGGCTATTATAGCCGGCGACTTGTGCTTGCAAGACAATGCCTTTGGTTAATTTGCTGAGGATATCGGCCGCTTCAATAGACCAGGTCTCATCTATATAGAAAAACAATTGATTAGACATATGGAATATTGCATATAAGAATCCATGTAGAGTACACCTACCGATTGGCTCGACATTGGACAGTATGCATTCGGTTGCCTGGAAGGGCAACGCCATAAAATCTGTGCGTATCTGACGCAAAACATTAAAGCTGACATTCATATAGCCGCCAAAGTCCAAGAATTTGACCACGCAGCGCTCCTCATCGTCGTTGGGATCGTTGCCCACGATCTGGACACGATACCAACCGCCATTGATGGGCATCACACAGACGGCGCTGATCTCGATGCTCGGCAATTTGGGCGCCTCCATGCTCGAGTAGCTGTCGAGCATGTTCTTCTGCAGTGCGTGTAGCGATGGGTGTGATGGATGCAACGGATGCTGCACGAATATATGATTGCCAGAGAGCACTGCGGTGACTGACACGTCATTGTTGATGCCCTCGATCAGGTTTAGCTGCGAAATTGGTAAGAATAAGCACGTTTAACAAGTGATGAAAATCGGGAATTCCTTAAATATCGATTTGTTATCGATAGCATGACATTACTTTTACGTTTTGTTCACGTTTCTGGCTGAACTATAGATAGCTTTATAGGGATGTTGGCAAAGTTATGTGTAGACAAGTCGTCTAGTCTAAATGAATCGATATACATTCGATAAATAATCACATTGATCGTTTTTCATAAACAATCTTAATCGATTTTGATGTGGCAGCTTAGTGTATCAGATATTGTTCAGTATGCAGCACTCATTTGGTTGAGTTTATGATTATATTTGAGAAAAAATCGAAGGATTTGCTAGCTGAACGATATACACTATATTTTGTAAGCTTCATTTTGTTATCAATGTAGTGATTGAAGCCATTTATCGATTTACTTTGCATTAGTGAACTGTTGGCATTGTTACTGCTATCGATAACATGCCGATATACATGTGTATACTTCAGTAACTCATGCGAATCATTTTGTAAATACGCTTAATCGAGTTACCCATTGGAATTGCAAGAATTATCAATCAACCAATCTAGTTACAGTTCATGTTATCGATAAAACATCCCTACAGCATATAAGAATATGTATGTAATTGAATACATGCATAAAACTCTCCCTCTATGATTGCACTATAGAGAGGTACAGATCGAGACTGGCAGAATCTGTCTTCAACTCACTTGTAAGCTATGGAGGCTTTCAGTCGACAGAGGAACTATGGATTGCGGAAGCGCATAGTGAATTCTTTGCATTGTGAAATTTGGATAGCGTCTGGATGGCAAACGCTGGCGTATCATGGCCAGCGCGGCGTCGATCTCGCTGTCGGTGCCTTCGATGGTGCAAATGCGCAGCTTGCCGGATGAGTAGCGATTCTTGCTCAAGCTGACATTGGCCAAGGTCTTCGACTTGATTTTATTGATGAACGTACGCTTGCGTCCATATAGCTGGCCAATCAGGCTATTCGGAAAGAAGAAGCGATACGAGCTCTTCACCCGTGACGTTGCCTCCGATCGCGGCAAGCTGGACCCTTTGCCCGAATCGCCAGATTGTACGCTGCAAATGCTTAGCGATGGACTGGCTGCATCCACGTTGCGCTTCTGATTGCCATTGGCTGCATCATCAAGGGCATCCGAATCAGTAGCAGCAGCAGCAGTAGCAGTAGCAGTGGCAGTAGCAGCAACAGCCGTTTCAGTGGCAACATCAGTGACCACCTCAGTGGATGCAGCTGCCGAATTCTCATTCAAGTCCACGGGCTTGGCCACAATCTTTTGCTCCTCCTCAGTCTGTTTGATCTGTGCTGCAGCTGTGCTCTGTAGCTGTGTCTTTTTGACGGGCTCTATTGGCTGCTCCACAGCGGCAACGGCATTCTCCATCACCTCCTTCTGCTCCTTCACCATCTCCAGCTGCTGCTTCTTGATCTTGTCAGCATCAGCTGCAGTTGGATTTGGCTCACAGTTGTTGTTCTGCTCGCATTCCTTGGTGTATTTGCTCTCGAGAAATGAATTCTCTGGGGATATTTTTGGTGTGCGTGTTGCCTTGATGACCACTGGCTCTTCTTTCTTTTGGTTGATATTCCGATTGTAGAACGAGACGCGATTCTTCGATATGGAATCCGGCAAATCTCTGGGCGACGAGAGATTCTCAAAGTCCTCGTCAATGGAGCATAGCTTCTTATGCTCTGCATCTTGTATCTTAGACTTTAGCATTTCCGAATCGATCTGTTGCTGCTGATGCTTGCCGGGGGAAGCGCGTCCATTGCTCTGTATTGTGATTGGCGCCGATTTACCATAGAGCATGGTATTCGGGCTCTCCTTATCATACTCCACATTGTTCAACACCGATCCATTGCCCACACTGATGCTCATCGACTTGGAGGCACCAGTACCAGGTACTGCTCCATTTCCGTTGCCCGAAGGCAATTTGCCATTTTGGGACTGAATGCCATTCACTGTCTTGCGCTGTGTTCCCGGCTCGATGCCCTCTTTGATCGGCTTTCCATTGGCAGCGGCGCCATTTGCATCGTCATCGTTTTTATCAATACGATTTTTATTTCTACGCCGAAACCAAAAGACGCCGAGTATAAATGCTACACCGGGCAGTGAGAGATAGAGTAGAGGACGACCGGATACCATTTTCGCTGAATATTGGAGAATCTGCAAATACATTCAAGTTGGTTTCGATTAATAATCAATATGGATTATGGACTATGAACTCTAGGACTAGTGATATACACGGTGCAGAGCGTTACTAACGAAGCTTTTCAGAATGAAATGGAAACATTTATTGCAATGCTATTCGAGTTCCAGCGATAGCAAAGCCAGGTGCATTCTCTGATTATTCAGAACTGTTGCCAACGCAATCCTCGGAAAGCATGTCTCAGATTTGCCGGGAATACACACAAAATCTGAGTAGTCATCGCAGTGATTTGTCTAGACAGTAAATGCGATATATTTTGCACCTTTCTGGTATTCAAGTTGCGTTTAAAATAATAAGGAAGTGGAAATATTGATATACATATGAATGTATGTATGTATGTATGTATGTATGTATGTACAAGCTCGTCTTGTACACATCATTTGGAGCTGTTGATTGGCTCTAGCTACCTGAACCCTGTGCTCAAGCGAATGGGCAGACGAATATGACTCTAATTGCTCAGATTGTCGCCCTGATCAGTGGGAATATAGTATATGTATGTATGTAAATACGTAATTTGGTCTGAATGTATACTTGATTTGATTTGTCATACTTTCTTCTACCTATTACATACTCTGAGCCAAGATCGTAAACATTTTCAATGGGTTCAGGGCATGGCAATATGAGTAAGTTCTTCCTCCAAATCCCCCTCTTCCTCTCTGGCCTAACATAATCATTAAAAAGCAAAACAATTTGAGAGAACTTTTAGAAAGGTATCAGAACGCTTAAGAATGCCAAATGCATAATGTGGAGAAAAGTGGAGAAAAAGAAGCAAGAGCAAAAGGAACATGGAAATGCTTAACAAATTTGCGTTAGCCATATAAATATTTTGTTGGAATTTGGGCAAGACATTTCTTATGAATATATACGTACATATATGTATGTACATATGTATATGTGCGTACTTTTTAGACCTTTAGTAGTTGGAAATGCTGCATAAAGTCAATTTGTTTGGGTCGCGACCATCACGAGACCCATTTGGCATCCACAACCAAGTGGATATGTGTGAGTATGTAGATATGTATGTGTGACGACGTATTTATAGCAAAAAATACGTAATTATAGAAAAATCATTCGAATAGCGACGCGCAGAGCAAATAAGGTGCAAAGCAGAAGCAGAAGCAGAATGCCACGCGGAAGCCAACAAGCAAGAGTGGGAGAGTGAGAGCGAGAGAGAGCGAGAGTGAGCGAGCCGCGCACACACACGTTTAGCGTGCTGATCGAGCGAGGGAGTGAGCGAGCGAGAGTGTATTGTGCATCTCACTTGCGCGTGCGCTGAGTGTCAAGTGTGAAGAAAAAGCCGCAACAACAACAACAAGAGCAAACGCAAGCAGCTTTCGGCTAGCTAAAGAACAAGCATAAGAACAACAGCAACAACAACAACAACAGCAACAGCAATGACAACAACAAGCATTACGCTTACGGCAATTGTTATGAAATCGTTACAAAACAAACGTTGCTAAAAAACTAATAAGAACAAATCAAAACCAAAATACAAAATAGGATAAATATATAAATACACATCAAATGACTGTCAATAACAACATTTTGGAATCACCTTTACTAATTTGCCACACTGTGCACACTGATTGTGGAATTTTCCAAATAAAAACAACTAGGAAATAAATAAAAACAATAAAAACTCTACCAAATACACGCCGCACACTCGATACTGTTTCGATCGTTATTTTCGTTGGGAATTTTAAACTCTATTCTTCTATATCTATATATTTATTTTCTTTTTAATATTTGTTTGCTTCTTTGTTGCATTGAACTGTTCGCTGGGTTTGTGTTTACTTCACTACTCGATATATAACTCAATTTGCGTTTATTTATCTATTTAATTTTCGTTGATTTGATGCCGGCGTTGCGACTCGTCGAATTCGAGCTTTATGTTTTTTCTATGTTCTATGCGTATCGCCGCCGTGCGATGATAGCGCCTCGATATACAAAGGGAAACTACCCAAAAGCGTTTCAGTTTTTTTTTTTTTCTTCTTTTTTTATTTTGCCACCCGCTCCAACCCCCCGCTAGTGTGTGTGTGTGAGCTAAGAGGAGGATCGTGTGATTTGCTTCGTTTTTCTATTTATTATTTCTAGCGAGACATTTGCCATTTGTCGATTGCAGCCGAAAGCAACCCAAGCCACCCAAAACCACCCACTCTGTTAATAGGCGCAACTGCAGTGTCAACAGCCTCAAAACAAAAATTCGATCAAAAATTGAATAGACAGAGAGACAGACAGACAGATAGATGGATAGACAGATAGCAAAGAGCGCCCTTCGTCAAAGCATTTCAATGAGACCATAAAAACGTTAGCCTCGCTCTCTTTAGTGTGCTCTCTCACTCCCGCTCTTTGTTTCTTGGGCAAACCTGTTGCCCTGCTGCCGTGTGTACATATGTGTGTCGATGTGCCTGTTGTTTATAGGCAAAGCTAGACGCTGGACACACCAACACACACATTAATTTACAGAGAGCTGGTTTCGTCACCATTGATAAGCCCTAATCATAGAACACAGGCCCAAAGGTCATCATATTAGAGCTGAACGATCTGGGCGCATTGTTGTGAGAGGTTGTCCATCAACTGTTGGCACATTTCGCATTAAGCGCAGTGTTGCCACCTGGACAAAGCGGGCGCACTCTTCGTGCGTGCATGTGTGTGTGTGTCTATGCGTGTGTTTTGCCTATGCAAACAAAAATATTTGACGCTTGACGCTTGACTTTGAACTTGCAGAAGGTGCCAAAAGCACGTTACAATTAGTTGGCAGTGTTTTAATAAAATTCCAGTTTAAATTTGTATTAGGTATGCACATAACAATTTAGTGTTTGACAGTTGTTAAACCAGCCACGGCTAGAAGCCAAGGCCTATGGATTGTATTTAACTCGTTATCACACACACACATACACACACATACACACTCACAAAGGGTGTGCGTGAGTGAGAAGGCGATTTTCGTCTATTAATACATACACGCACGCACTCAAATACAATAAACGGCCAAAAGCCAAATGCAACAACGATCTGCTTTAGTTTTGGCCTAAGAGTTGGCACCCTGCCCCTGTGCCCACCCCTTCCCTTTGTCCAATTGCTCTAGTCTGGCAACGTGGTTGGCGATCATATGCTCTGCGACAACGACGACAACGGCGACAACGGCATTTTTTGTAGAAGTGTATTGTATAATCGTGAAAATGTGTGATATTTTGATTTGGCTTTAGTTTTTTGCTCCCCCTTCTGCTTTGGCTTTGTTGTTGTTTGTTGCTTATCAGCACAACAACAAATTAAAGCGTTTGATTGAATGGCGTAGTGAAAGCCGTCAAACAACAAAACAAAACATAATGCGCACAAACATTTCAAACTAAATACAAAATTCTATGGAAAACGTAACAAAATTAATATCTAAGCTATATGACTCACGACGCCAACAGAATTGTACATTTATATATATGTATATACACATGTATTTAAATATACTGAAACTTTCGTATGTATACAAATGTCGACTTCATATATGTACATATGTATATATTTATGTATATGTATATATACATATATATTATATGTATATATAGACACATATGTAAGCAGGGACAGCAACAAATTTTCATTGTATAATAAACATAAGAAATAAGGACCAAAACGAAGAGCACATTGATCCTACGTACATATACACTCTCAACACACACACCGACACAAGCTGACAGGCGGTATAAATTGTATGCCGCATGTGTAGCGACAGCAAAAACAACAACAAGACGTTGCCACCTATTGATTATGTTGCGCATTTTTTGCACTCACACACAGACACAAAGTCACATATACAATAAAAAAAAAAGTAAAAAATAACTAATTAATAGCGGAAAAGAATATTTAATTTCTGTGCTGTTTTATTTCATATGAACGTTACACTTTACGACAAATTACGTTTGCTTCGAGCAGTCAAGCAATATGACACCATTTTTTTGCTTTGCTCTGCGAGTGTTTTGGCAAATGTTTTGTAGTAGGTTATGTTCCGCCTGTAAAAATTGCCCTTACCTTTTGAAACCAGTGGGGTAAATAATTTGCTTTGAATTGCTTTTTAAGAAGCGTAACTCTTCACTTTATTGTTTTTTATGATATTCACTATTTTTTATTTGACTTATAACACAAATTTTTAGCGTATTTTGGGAGCACAAATTAAACACGTGTCTACGTCCAACTTTTACATATCATAACATGGCCGGCGTATGCAGTGTTGCCATCGTAGTGCACAAATGCCGATAAACTAATGACGACGTTCGATCAATTCCTTGCTATTTATTGAAATGCATTTAATTCACAAATAAAACACTCTTTATACTGTCCCATATGGTATTGCATCTGAATTGTTTGCACAAAATGCTAAAACGCAAATGAATACAGTTAATCGAGCTGAATGACAACACATGCAAGAACAGGGCTGTATTTAAAGGTAGTCGAGAAAAGCGATAAGAACACCTATAAATACCAAAAATTTATAAACGACCTGTAAATATTTGTTCACATTTAAGTTTATTCCTTTGAAATAAAAATTATATTTTAGGGTAAAAGTAAAACTGACTCACTGGCTGACGCTTGAAACAATACTTAAAAATAAATAAAATAGCCCGCCTTTTTTAAAATATACTGAACGATAAGTTATTAGCAACTCTGATTTACTATCTTTGAAAGCAATGGTGCCTCCAAACTATATTCATAATGCAATATAACACTAAATATTTAATTACATTATATTATTATAACGCGTTGCATCGCCATATGATTAATACAGATCGACATATAACTTTGAAAATCGAAAATCGTATCGTATGTGTAAGGCCGAATCTGAATAGTCTGGCAGCTCTAAGCCAATGTCAGAGCGCAACGGCTTCCTGTTAGATTTCTTTGACAGCGCTCTTTCTACCATTTGACAGCAACTGAGGTAGGTCGGCCGCGAAATAGTTGTGTACAAATTCTGAAATTATTGCAAACATCTTACAGCTGTATGTGCAAATTATGTGTGCAATAGAAACTTAAAATATCGATGCTATATATAGCACAGTTGTTGCAAATGAATAACAAGTGAAACTAATTAAAAACTGTGTTTACAATTTTTGTTTGTTTTCCAGTGACAATGGCAGTCCGCTACGAGCTGTGTATTGGTCTCAACAGGGGCCACAAGACCACCAAAGTCAAGAATGTCAAGTATACCGGCGACAAGAAGGTCAAGGGTCTGCGTGGCTCCCGTTTGAAGAACGTAAGTGAAAAATCAATAATATCCCTATTGGCATTTGTTTACATTACGTTTGTCATTGCAATTGCAGATTCAAACCCGCCACACAAAATTCACTCGCGATCTGGTTCGTGAGGTGGTTGGACATGCGCCCTACGAGAAGCGCACCATGGAATTGTTGAAGGTGTCCAAGGATAAGCGCGCCCTCAAGTTCCTGAAGCGCCGCTTGGGCACACACATCCGTGCCAAGAGGAAGCGTGAGGAACTGTCCAACATTCTCACTCAGCTCAGGAAGGCTCATGCCAAGTAAAAACCTTGGCAAACAACAACAGCAGCAGCAAATAACATCAATCGGTACACTTGAAAACATCAACGGTGTTTTTTTTTTTATAAATAAATGTTGTGCAGTGTTAACAGCATTTGCTAAAACGTGTAAAGAAGAAAACTGAACAGTCGATGAAGCCACAATTAAAAAACAAATTATAATAATTACGCTGAGTGTTTATTTTTTTCAAGTGCATTAATCGAACCAAAACGACAGTTGAACATTTGTTAGTTGTTCCATAACCTCACTTTAAGCAAAAGCTTAACTGTTCTCTTTTATTCCTTATTTTTATTGACTTGGGGTGGCGATGCCACCTTTGTCAATAAGTGGCCCAATATGGAATATTCTGTACGGTAATTTCCAACATTGCTTTAGATTGCACAGAGCGGCCGGCTTTAACAAATTTGATTGTGGAATGTACAATGGAATGCTAATGGGAATATTCTTAACTGTGCTTTCCACAGGTTGCCTGGTTTTACGCTTAGCTTGGGATAGGCACGAATGTTGAGTTATTGGAATACCGCCTAGGAGCGAATGCCTAGAACTAATTGAAAACTATAAAAATATATATTTACATACATGTATGTATGTATATATACAGTATTTACTTAGAAGTATTGCAAGCAATCAAAAGTTTAGATAGTCTATTGATGTGCATGGTTTGGTTTATTAAATATGCTTGTCGAACTCTTAAGTTGATACTTACAACTAAATTAAATGTGATACATAATTCTTTCTAAATGCGATTATGCTATATGTATAGAAGACCTTGGACTACAGTGGGCATTCGGTTAACGTGCACATGCGTGTGTATGTGTGTGTCTGGCCGCAGCTGCAGTTCGTGCAGTCTCGAGCAAATCTTGTTAAGGTTGATGCTTACAAACTATGAGTACTCGGCGGTGCATTTTTGTGGAAGTGAATCAGGAACAGGGGGTTGGAGGGGAGACAGGAGCACCATGTGTGAACACAGCCGTTTGTGTCAACGCGTGCTAACTGTATATCCCTTTCGATTTGGATTAGAATTTTGATTGCTGCATTCAGAAGTCTTCGTCGTTTAGGCTGGGCAGCGAGATGGTCACCTCGCCCACCAGCTGCGCCTCGTTGGCATCGTTGGAAACGATAATGCGTTCGTAGTCAACACCAATTGGATTCACAATCTCATAGCAGCTGTCGGCCAGATCCGGCTCCTCTTTGATATGTGGCGCTAAGATCTGCTGCGTAACCTCCAGGCTCTCAATGCGCGTCATCTCTAGCCGATAGAAACCGTTCTCATCCACACGATAGGAGAAGCGTTTGTGGCCCGACGGCAAACGAAAGCCGTGCTTCTTAATCAGATGAACGGACAAGGATTTGCCCGTCTTAAAGTAGCGCTCACAGCAATGGCAGGCATAGAAGATCGGATTGTTGCCGTGCACCTCCAGAAAGTGCTGCAAGCAAATTGAATCGGGTTAGGGAGAGGTCATATAGATGATGGATCGATATTGACTTACTCGTCTCATCTGCGTGTAGGTGCGCACGGAGTACTGACAGCCGGGATGATCGCACTGATGCACCATTTTGGAGTGGACAATCTGTACGTGCTTAGCCAGATCCGATTCGCGGACACAGCGTGTGTCGCATTCCGTGCACTTGTACGGCTTGTCCTTCAGATGGCGATAGCGTACGTGCGTAGTCAACGAGCTGGCCGAGCTGCAGGTCATGTCGCACATGGTGCACTTGTAGCAGTTCACGTGCCGCACGACATGACCGCGCAGCAGCTTCTCCGTGGCAAAGAATTTAAAGCACTGCGCACATTGAAATTTGTGTGCTAGATGGTAAGAGAGAGACGGGTAGACGTAGATAGAGAGAGATATATTTTTGTTTATTCTTTATACAATATACTCACTGTTATTGTCCGGCTGCCGGCGGAGATGATCGAACAGCGTTGTCTTCGTCCTGAACAGCTCGCCGCAATGATAGCAGGCAACATGCTTTTTGTTCGAGTGCGTGCTGATGTGCTCGATGAGGCGATACTTGTTCTCCAGCTGCTTGTTGCACAGCGTCCAGTTGCACTGGGTCTTGGGTCGCTCGTCGTCTGGCGACTTTTGTATCTCATATTCGAAGGAGGCGTGCTGCACGATGTGATCCTGGAACTCGACTATGGAAATGAACGAGCGCTTGCAGTCACTCCAGCCGCAATGGAAATTCTGTTTCAGCTCGGGCAGCTTGTCGCCTTTGCGTGGCAGTGCATAGCAGGCAGGTATTTCGGGATGGAGCTCGCACTCGTGCTTGCCCTGGAGCAGCAGGTTAATGTAATAGCCATGATAGTAACTGTGCCGTTCGAATTCTTCGCGGCAATTTGTTTGAAAGTTGCAATCGTTCCACACGCAGACACACTTGTCCGGGCCCTGCGACTCCTGCTGCTGTTGCTGCTGCTGGTGCTTCTCCAGATGCTCGGCAATGTGGCCATTGAGCAGCCATTCACCATCGCAAATCACTTTGCAATCGCGCCAGCCGCAGGGCAACTGCAGCTCTGATGATTTTTTCCTCTTGCTCGTTGGGTGTTGCTTCATCATTGTGTCTGTGTGGGTGGGCGTGTGCAAATCTGGACTATATAAAAAGTTGCAAAATTCTGGTCAATAAATTGCAATTCCCTCCCGTGTAAAAGAAAAACTCTATCGCAATGGTATCGCTATAGTGATGGCAATTTTCAAAGTGCATCCGCATCGATACTTTCAGTTAGCTCGATTGGAGTATCGATTGAAGTGCAGTGCCAACCAAGCGGTAATCAGGGGCGAGCACTTTACCAAATTTAATGCCAAGTGCTCAACTCTCAGCTGTTTTCGAATTTTCAAAGATTTTTCTCGATAAGGACCTCCCAAAATGTATATATAAATTTCAATTTAATGGGTTCTTTTATTTGCTTTGCTTATGCGGCCTCCATTTCGTTTTTGTAGTTGAATAGTTGTTTACTCGAAGTAACACAGCGCTTTATTATTGTAATTAAACATTTCAAGCGATATAATAAAGAGAAAGGAATGGTTATTGAAAAGTCTTTGCGGGTTTTTTTTAAAGCTACTTTTAATCGTTGCACTTGCTGCTTAAAATGTACGATAGTTGATATAAACTTAATCTAAATCGAGTGCGCATTTGCATATCTATCGATTGGCTTAACGACACACCACTTTCCCTCCAATTTTCATGGTTTCAATAATTGACTTCTCTTTCTCTCTCTGTCTTTTACTAATAGCTGTATTTCTTGTTCAACTTATTTACAATTGTTTTGTTTTTTATTTAAATTATACAATATTGTTGCTAATGTTAATTCTGCCTAGAGCAAATGCGCACACACACGTTCTCTCCACAATATGCCAATAAAAATATTATACTTACACGGGACCTACAAATATTTATGAACTTGGCTTAAAGGCCTGGCATCACATACGCAATGTTGTCCAACGTTGTGGCCAGATTTGTGCTTAGCTGCGTCTTGTTCTCCAGCCCAGGTATTTGCGTTGTCATGCAGAGCAGCGGCCCCATCGAGCACAAGAGGCTGTCTAGGAGGACAGAGAGGCTACCAGAGAGGGCGACATGTCCATTGTGCTCCTTCAAGCGTTCCCCAATCACTGTCAGACTTTCGCCGAGCAGCTTTAAATGGGCAGCCGCATCAATAGCCTCAATGCTCGACGGTGTAATCTTGCCACTGGCCAGCTCCATATCCGATTGCGCAGCGCTTTGTCGAGCGGATGGGCTCGCCTGGCTAGTGGCTGCGGGAATCGCCTTGATCCGGCTGTTGTTACTGCGTTTCTGTCTGCTTTGTGCCCACGACGAGGGTGTTGTTGGCTGCTCCGGCAATTGGCCTCGATCTGCAGCCAATTTCTTGGTGCGAGTCGTTGTGGCGCGATTCACAAAACTCGAGTCTGGAGTCGCCGCTGCCACAGAGGCGCTGCCATTGCTTGCCTTTGACGGTGTTTGCGCTGTGGCCAAATCAGCTGGTGCATTATTCTCCCGGGTACGCGCCTTGGCTGCCAGCACCTTGGCTTTGCGGCGCCAGGCGTTCTTCTCCCTGTTGGACACATTGGCCCACAGCTCGCTGAGTCTTCGTGCCGCATTGGCAAGGTCTAGGCGAGAGATTACGTTTAGTTATTTGTATATGGGTTTCGATAATGTCTCACCTAGATCTGGAAAGTCGCGTTTGCGCACCTCTCGCACCCACAGGCTGTAGGCCGTGTAGCGCACCCGCATTTTGTCTTTTCTTTGCAATTTGTTGTCCTTGAGCAGCTTACGCTTATTGTTTGACTTTTCTCGCATATAGAGACTCTGTCGAACCCGCGAATCGTTCGTGTAGGAGGCCTCCGCTTCGACACCCTCGACCAGGTCTTGGACCAATGTGTCCACCTCATCATCAGAGTTCATAAGGGCGCCACGTAGATCGGCAGTGCCACCAATTGTGGGTATTGCGGTCTCCTCATCGGAGATATTGTGATTGTGCTCCAGCTCATCCTCTTCGTCCTCCTCCTCGGCGTAGGCCAGCGCCAATTCTTGTTCACGCTCTCGCAGCGCATTGGGTGGTCGACCGCGTCCTGGATATCTGGCTGGTTGCCTGCCCGGTCGTTTAGTGCGCTTTTCAATTTCCTCTGGGGACTCGAAGTCCAACAGTTTTGACGATTTTTTGCGTACGCGTCCACTACGTGAAACGCCAGCCACCTGAAAATCTAAGCAATCTTTGAGCACGGATTTTTCGTCAACCTTGCATGGCATACCCTTTGTCACAGGATTTGATATGGGTGATTCCATTGTTTTGATATTAATTATTATCAATATTATTAATTGTTGTAAACGACGCGATGAGAAATCAGTAAACAGCTGTTTACAACAAATACGGTCATACTAGGCCCATCCGATAAACGATGGTCATGAGCGCAACAACATGGAAGATTGCACAAGAATAATTCGATAATGCACAGCATCTTAAATAACAATGATAAGAAACTGATCGCAATGAACTCATGATTATGAGTTCAGTTTGTGATATGATTAGCTGTTTTATCACCATACCCTGTTATGATATTTCACATAGCTAATCAGCTGCAATATAAATGCATTAATAATTTAATAAGCTGCCTAATTATGCTTTATTCATTAAATGTATTCATTCAATCACAATTTTAATAAACAAATTAAAAAAAACACGCTGCTTGTAAGCATGTGACGTCACACCTGTAGATCGCAAAAGAAATGACCACGCGTGGCGATATCTTTTTGGGTCTGGTTGCACTTGAAAGGCATACGTTCGATAATTTCGATTACAAGCGACGCGATTTGTATACAGTTTTGATTACAATTCTTGTTGCTGTTTGCGGTTTTGTTGATACGCTGGGCGACATCGGCATTGAGTCGGCATTTTATTGATTGTATATGGCGAACTGGCGCTTGGCACGCAACGCCGGCCCCCAAACCAAGGACATAATCGACCCCCATATGGACAGGCGACATTAACGTGTTTTGTTTGGATTTCGTGTGTGTGTGTGTGTGTTTGTTTGTTTGTGGATGTGGGTTTTTGTATTTGGCGAATCAAGACCAAAACGACGGTTGAGCCGCTCAAATTGTGTTTGTTGCTTTAGTTATCCCTCGGCCATTCACTCAGCGCCGTGCATTTGTAAAACTCGCATTTAACGCGTGCGTTTGTGTGACTAACCCAAAGCAATTACCATTAGCATAACTAATTTATAATTCATATCAAATTCAAAACAAATAATTCAAAAATGTCGAATACAGTGAATAATAGTTCCGAGTCCGCGGCCAACGGCCGCTCCGAAACCGATCGTATATCCGCCCTCGAGCTGCAGTCGAACAAACGGATGCTGTACTTCAGCGATGGAGTCATGGAGGAGCCCTCCTTCAGTGATAGCGACGGCGAGCCGGACGTGCCCGATAAGGGTTACGATGACCAATTTGAGGTAAGCCTTGCATAAACAATGGACTTAGCTGTTGATGCGATAATAAATGAATGAATCAATGATTGGTATCTAATAAAATTTTGTGACTCATTCGGGAGCAGCGCGGCCTGCCGCTGGGACCACGCCTACGTTACAAGGCCACCAAGGTAGGCCACAATATATTGGCCGGCATTGATTACGTTGGTGGTGGCCTTGCCTCATTCCTGGGCATTACAAACTCGAAGTATGCCAGCGAACTTAAATACCATCAGCGTGCCAAGGAGCTGGCCGAGGCCGAGGCCGCGGCCGACGAGGACCTTGACAATTGGCAAGCGAACGGGAACGGGAGAAGTAGCAATAACAACAACAACAATCGGGGCGATACGATTGTGGTTTGTGCACCCGCTCGACGCGACGAGGCCGCAGCGTTGCCACCCAGTCGACAATAATACTTGAACAAGCGATGAACTCCATTTGCGGCCACTCAAGTATAAGAGAAACGCAAAAGTCGTATAAGACGAGAAAATGCTCATCAGGTAAAATTGTAAAATAAAATTGTATATACCAAAAAACAAAACAAAGAAAATCCATGTATTAAGTAAACAGCATTAAATCATTTTGGACAACTTTATTCGCCATAAATAAGATACGAAATACATTTGACATATTTATATAAAAAAAATGGTTTTATTTAAAAAAAAATAGAAGGGATGCTCGTTTATATAGAGCTTAATACGGTTTGATTGAATTCAATAGTTTTTCAGCTTTTAGAAAGACTCGCAAGACTTTGAACTTAATTGCTATTAGCATGTGTAAATATATTAAGTACTTTTGTTGTTGTTTGTTTAATTCTTAATCCTAATGGCACACTGAATACAGTTAATGTTTGATTTAAGTACACTTGCGTTTCGAATCGATTTTGGATTTAAGTACACTTCATTTGTTTTCATTTAATCTTTAAATCTTGAATCACAGTATCACAGAATTTACATATATTTATGTATATATATATATAGGAAGCAGAATGATAAAATATATATATATATTATAATTATAATATGGGGCAAGAATTGTTTATAGTGTATTGTACTTTGGTTACGCGCTAAAAAATAGTTATTTAAAATCAAAGTGCCATGAAATAATATAGAAAATTACATAATTAAGTAAATAAGGGCAAGTTACACTTAAAAAAATGTCGAATTAAATATAGGAATTTCAAAGAAATATTTGAAAATATTAAGTATTGCACAAAATTTTTATAAATATAATAATTAATAATAAATTTGTTTCATATCAGGCAAAGCTAAACCGAAAACTCGGGAACTAGCACAAAATGTGAAAATTCTATTTTCTTTTAGCTAAAACTGTTTCTATTTTGAGCCAGTTCCTTAATTTCCACTCATTTCATGGCATTTCAAGCAACATTTAAAGGAACACAACACAAATGTTAATAGAAATAGAATATTAAGTACAGACACGCATACACAAACAAGATAATACATTTAAAGCAAATACATTTACGTGGGTTCCCAAAAATCAGAAATAGTGCGAAACCTAAACAAAATTATGCACAATTTGTGGGTCCTAATTGGGCTTATAAATGGATTTGAGATGATATATATATAGAGTATATACAGACATAAGCTCAAGGAATTCTAGATGAATTTAAGATAGTTCAATCCTAATTCAAAGTTGAACTGGAACTAGTTAGGCCTCTAATATATGTATATGCTATGTAATACAGCTCCAATCCATATAAACAATTCAATTACTTATACAACTCGGTTGCTTAAGAGCTTCACTATATGTTTAAAAATTATCTATTTTGATATATCTCAAGAAACTAGAGCCCAGTTCCTGCATTAGTTCCTTCTCTCTCTCACACATCTAAGGCACAATTTTGACTTTGCTTTCTCTCTATGTATGCACAAATCTCTGCCTCAATTAAGTTGACAAATTGTGCATAAAGTGCGAATTGCTTAAATGCAAATCGATACGTAGCTAAAGTAGGCGGAAACTATGCTGACCTTGGCAGGAACGTTGCGTTGTTCTAGCCGCATTGGTGCTTGACGTGCGGCCTCAGACTTGAAGAACTCTTGGCGAGGGCAGCGATCAATCTGGATAGGAGTGGAACAAGTAGTTAGCAGATGTATGGAGTAAGTAGGGCTGGTCATGACTCACGCTCAGAGCAACGTCTCGTTGCCGTAGCGCTGCAGTTGCGGATAGTGCGTATAGCTGCTATGATGATGATGACCATGGGCATGCTTTGAGGGCGCATAGTAGAGCCGCTGCGTCGAGTGGCCGTGCGGCGACTGCTGGGCGTTGCGGCCCAGCGAGTAGTTGGACATTTGGTTGAGCGATATGGAGCCGGCGCCCGTGTGCTGTGACTTGTGCTTGTAGGAGCTGCTGATCAGCGGCGGCGCACTGACCATGGACTGGTGCGAGGGACGCACCGAATGATAGGAGACAACGGTGCTGCTGCATGCCAGGTGGGAGCCACGCGAGCTGCTCTGGCCATCCAGGAGTTGTTGCTGCTGTAGCTGCTGCTGCTGCTGCTGTTGCTGTTGCTGCAGATGATGATGATGATGATGGTGATGGTGCTGATGCAGCAGCGAGGACGGCTGTTGCTGCTGTTGTTGCAGCTGCTGTTGCGCATGGCGATCGGCCGATTGCTTGAGCGGACGCATGGACAGCTGGCGCTTGTAGAGACTGGATATGCTGGGTCCCAGCACCCAGGCGAAACAGCAAATGCCCAGCATTAGCTCCATGAAGGCGCGCGTCAGATACGGCCAGAGCGGTGTGCTCGTCTCCCGCTGACTCAGCCAAACATCGATGTTGGCAAACTCATAGATCACGGCGAGCAGCAGCAGGGCACAGGCGGTGCCATAGATGAACAGAAAGATGCCAATGCCGGAGCTGTTGTGCACGCCCAGCTGCAGTTGCTGCTGCAGGCTCAGTGCATTGCTGTTGCGCAATATCTCCTTGTTGCGGCAGTGCACCAAATAGCCAGAGATTAGATTCATCGAGCCAAAGATCCAATAGCAAAAGACGGGCGTGGCAACCAGCACCTGCAGCGCCTTGTCCGACTGATTGCCCACAAAGCAGGCGCCTGGTGGAGAGAGACAGAGAGAGAGATAGATCAGTCGTAGTCGTGTTACAGTCGAGGCATATACATATATGAGCCCATCATACCCAACAGCTCGTCGGCGTCGACCAGTCGCATCACAATCACCGCCGCCGTCTGGAACGCCGGCAGTCCCCAGGCCACAAAGCACACAAAGTTATTCTGCGCCAGATCCTGCTGAGCGCTGCTATGGCCGCTGCCTCCCTGTCGCTTAGCGGCGGGCAGCGCTATATGTCCCTTGGTATCGGGACTATTGCGGCGTATATCCCGATGCCAGCCCAGGCATAAAATGGCCCACCTGTTAACAGAGAAGAAGAACTATCAGATTCTCTTCAATATCAGGCGAGTGGAATCGAAATCAGATTTAAATATCATAAAACTCAGATGCTGAGGTCCTTTATATAATAATTAGTGTCTATTGTTGGTAATTTTTCAACTTTTCCTCCTCTATTCCATCTAACTTTCACAATTATGCCTAAATTGAAGATTTCTTTTAGTCTAAGCATAGAGCTATGTCTATATAATAATAATAATAAATCAAAATAAAAACTCTTCCACTTTTATAGGTATATTATAGATGATCTGGGAATTCAAATCTATGAGCAGAAAACAGAGAATGAATTGATTCTTAAGCGAATCTCTATTGTATAGCTTATAGATTAAATATATACATATATCGTATATAGCATTTGCATTTGATATGTTTATATATACCTATATACATATACAGATTTGGGCTGAAATACAAAACGTTTTCAGTCATAAATAAGTGGCGTTAGCAAATTCCTATCTCTATTGTTATCAACCCCAACCACACGGCAT